GAGTGTTATTGAAGCGGAAGTTAGATTCGAACAGTTTTATTTTAGTTTTTTTTTTAGCTGCTTGCTATTCATTTTCTAGTTCTAGGTTAATGAAAATGATGACAGTTGTTGGTTCTTGGCTGTTGAATGTTGATGATGAGGATGGTGTTGTTAATGTTGATGGCAATGACGATGATGATTTTGATCCTGAGAACGAAAGTGATGCATAATTATAGTATGTTGCAGTTTATTATAGGAATTTTGTTAAAGATAAATGTTTTTTTGTTGTTGTTCATTTCCACCAGCACTTGTTACTCTAATGATGTGATTGTTAGTGGGAATTTTTTGTTTGTTTGCTTGATGTGTAATGTTTGACTTACTGATGTTTGCGCCTTTTTTTTCTCGAAAATAAGGGATTTTGCCGTAATTATCATTTACTACACTTTTTGCTTAAGTTATTTATCAAACAAATGCTGATGATGGTAACCAAAAATTAAATTCTAATAATGATGGATTTAGTTTTTGAATTGTGCAATGACGAGGGAAATCTTGTTGAGTTTAATGACAATGAAATGAGAAAATAAATGTTTGGTTAAGCCAAATGACTTTAATCAAGAGAACTATTAAAGTGAAATGAAATACGTTTAAAAACATTATTTCATACTTTTATTCTTAGCACAACATGTTCAATTCTTCTTTTTTTTAATTAATAATATTTTGTGTATGTTTTTAATATAATTTCTTTTTTGCCTCCATAATATTTATTAAAATATATGTCTGTTACAATAACTATACATAAATCATTTACCATTATTATTAACACTATTTTTTCATTTGTACATTGTGTAAAATGTGCAACTACAAAAAAATTATCATCATTTATTATAATAATTTCTAAACCAGCAGACTACTTGAATTGAAAGTCTACTAGAGAAGTGCAAAAATTTAATATATGACACTATACGAGTACAGAATATGAGTGGAACTTGTAATAACCATGATTTTATTCCATGTATATAAATGTAGCAATATATAATTCTTTTATATACATACATGCATATGTACAAGTGTACATACTTTTTACATATATTCATATGTATGATTATAATGTAGATGACAATTGTTAAGTTAAAATGTCGCATTTCAAATGAGTTGTAGTGCTTTTTTTTAATGTTAAGTTATATTTATATATTTTTTCTTTTTGTGTAAAATATGAGTGTGAAAATATAAGATTTTTATTTAAAACTACATATTTTTTTTTGTTAATTTTAAATGTAATTTCAAAAAAAGAGAAAGAAATTATGGTTTATAAAAAATGACACATGTTTCAATTGTTTAAAGTGCTAAATGTTATGCTGAACTTTGAATACAAAGTATAAGTCTTAAATTTGCGATCTATAGTTTGATTACTAGGTTAAAATGGAAGATTCATATAATGATTCTGATCTGATTGGTATACTTGGGTGTAGGTCGCACATTCAGATATTACTACTACACACAGAGGGAAAAGAAAATATACACGCCTGGTATCAAATTGACACCAAAGAGTTTATAATTGGAAAATTCACATTAACAAAGTATATACATACGTATGACAACACTATGTAATGTAACAATTCGTTGTCGAAATCTAAATTTTATACACATCCGTTGTCTAAATGTTAACAAACGTGGTAAGCTTACTATTGGCAACGGATTGTTTGTCAATAGTGAGCTTACCACGTTTGTTAACATTTAGACAACGGATGTGTATAAAATTTAGATTTCGACAACGAATTGTACGTATGTATATATTCTGACAACGGATGGTATTGGAAAATTATTAACAGAAAGGATCTTTGACAAATCGTATGTATCGTGTCTACATTTAATGTTCGAATTTGTTTATATGTATTCAATATTAAAGTTGTAAATCTATTATTCAGCCAAGTGCGGATCAAGCTTTACAGTTTATAATTTGTTATATTCTTTACTTATTACTTTGTTCATTTCTTTCCCTATGTTGTATAAAATATATTCGGTTTTGGAGAAGAAATTCCCTATTTTCCTCCCCCACGCCTGCACAAAGCCCCCATTTATCTTCGCAAACAACACAGGGCATCAATTAGTTCTACGTTGAAGCTTCTGATAATCAAAATTATTCTATACCCAATGACATTTTTATCTTAATTGAACAAATGCATTCAGTGAGTTAATCAGTTTCTTTAGAAAAGCTTTTTAAACAGAAACGAATTTAATGATTTTTTTCTGCTTTATTAACAATCAACTCAGAAAACGTAAATATGGCCTAAGGCAATGTGTTTACTTAACACACCAACCACTTTTATGCAGTTAGAAATATTAATTAATACCCTATAATTAATTTGGTAAACTTATAACAAAGATGCTTTACAAAAATCCTTCTTAATGAAATCTATAAAATGTTGAATAAAGGGTATTTTTAATTCGTTTCGCTGTGTAATATACCTACGCCACTAAATGAGCTAGAAAAAAAAAACGTAGATCAAGCAAATTAAATATAATGTTTATATTTGTTTTTATTACACAAACAGCCAGAGAGTAGACAAAAAACAAACTAAATAAAATTACACAATTAAATCGCATCCTTATTTTTTTGCTCGTGTTTTGTAATTTTTTTTCATTTTTGCTAGCGGCAAGTTTTTTTGTTTTTTGTATATATTTCCTAAATAAACCAGTCAAGTTAATGAACAATTCATGTCAGTTGCTAATTACCTTCATCGTGCATAAAAATCTTCTTTACTTCTTTATCTTTAATCACTGGAAAAACATACAGAAAATTATTTGTTTCTACCAAAAAGCAAATTCGTCTAACAGATATTTCCATCACTTTTGTTTGACTAACTGACTGACTTAGTTGGCTGAATGACTAAATGAATGAATGACTTGGTAACTGTATAATTTTTTTGTTGTTTTTATTTTATTGTATTGTTTTTGGAGGAAAATAAGTAAGTAAGTAATTCTCTTAATATGCCACAAAACGTTATAGACAATAGCCGGGTAATTAACAAAGCTTTTTTGTTGTTGTTGCTTTGTTTATATACCCAACCACAATAACTACCTCCAACTTTTAGTTGCTTCTTAAACTCAACCCTTGTTATGGCAAATAATACAATTAGTTTCTGATGCTTTTGGTAGTTTTATTTCGTATTTTTTATCTTCCTCTCTTTCTACTGCCAACCACTTTGTTTCTTCTCTGCTTCCCATCACAACAGCTTTTGTGTACTTGGATTTTGACCAGAACTGAAAAAAAATCATTGGAAAAAATACGTATTAAATGATGCAAAAAAAGACAATAAAATCTTATTTAGTGGTTTGCTAATTTAGCCATATCCTTCGCCCTCTAACTCTCCTTATGAGAATTCCCTGTCTAATTCCATGCACACTTGGAAGGCTTAATACTCATCTTGTCAGTCAGATAAGAAGTTTAGCTAAACTAAACACACACACAGATATCATGTATCCAAGCGAACAGATAGAGAGCGAGAGTAGATGGTTGCAGTCAAAATGTGTCAATTAAAATGGTAGAAAGCTTTAATGGTAGTGTGGTGTAAGTAGCATGAGTTAAATCAAATTAAATAAGGACAATGAATACGAGAATCAAGTTTAATATGGATTTTGTACGTATCCTTGTCATATATAATGTGTCCTTTTTTCTTTGCTAATTACTTTTTATAATTCTTGGAATAACCTTTTGTTAATACTCTGGCAATCGGTTTTATATGTACATATAATCTTGAAATATTCATCAGTGTCATGTCAGTCAGTTTAAGTTGGCTTCAGGCAGTTTATTTAAATGTCTGGTTGTATTTCCGCTTGTGCAGTTATAATTTTGTTAAGGAGCAGTTTTGTTTAAATAACTTTTATTTAAACGTTTTTAAAACTAATTTTTACAAACTTTTGCCTTGAAAAAGTCATTTAAATATCTTTTATTTGATATACATACATATGTAATTATAAATATTACGTCATTTCTCACAGCCTGTAGCTGTAAGAAATCCCAGGATATCATTAAGCTTAGACCCAGACATCTCACCAAGGTTAGATATGAAACAACTGCCAAGAAACCGGTTTCTCTTAACGGTTACAGCAGGGCATTGGCAGAGAAGATTTCTTCCTTTTCCCTGTCTTTGAAACTGCGACACTGTTCGTTGAAGGGGAGAACAAGTCGACTTGGCCCCTTTACATGTGTCTAGGTTATTCCACCTATTTTCATCCTTTTAAAGAAAGAATCTGAGGATACTGCTCTTGTTCTGGCAAGTTCATTTGGCTGTTCATTACCATAGTAGTCCCTATGCGCAGGGACCCAAACAAGGATAATGTCAGACAGGCGACCCACGCTTGACAGATCCTTCTTGTATTATCTAACTAATAGGGAAGTAGTAGTATAAGAGTTTAGTGAGAGAAGTGCTGCTTGACTATCGACAAAGATTCATATGTTGCCGCGAATATTGAGGTCATGTAGTACCCTACAGGCCGACATCGCAAATATTTCAGTCTGAAAGACACTACAGTTGTTGCGAAGACGGTGAGATATACTTACCCCAGCTTTTTCACAGAAGATACCAGAACCAACACTGAAGTTGATTTTAGAATCATCTGTAAAGATTCTGGTGGTATAATCGCTCGGTAGGTTACCTCTACACCAATCGCCCCTGAAAGGAACTCCGACTTTGAAAACACTATCAAAGTCCGTGAGTGGGCTGGTTGGTTCAAGATTGTTTAAACAAACTAAAATAATTTACTTCCGTTTCACAATCGTTAGCACCTTTTCTTCAATAAAGATTTCATTTTAACAATTTAAATTTATTTTTTGTTTTTTTGCCATCAAAAGTCATTGTTTTTTAAACAAAAAACTAAAAAATATAAGACTTTTCCAACTTCAAATTAAGATTAAGTACTTTATAGATTTTTAAACATCTTTCGTTTGTTTTTCTATTTAGTGAACACATTAATTCTATTTTATTCCTTTTTTTGTATATTTTCTTTATTTTTTATTATAGTTTTCTTCTTTATGATGGTCAATACGAGTATCATTTTGTCATTTATCACAAGCAATTTCTTCTCTCAACTAGTTTGGTCTAACAATTGTTGAAAAAGTGTGTGTTGTGTGTGGCAAGGAAAAGGAAACAGGAAGTTAACCATAGAGGTAAGTTTTGTTTGAAAATTTCTATACAATTTAATTCAATTACATTTGATTTGTTAGTATTTTTTTTTTTTTTTTTTTTTTTGCAATCTTTATGTTATAATTTTGTTTGTGATAACTGAAGTCTAGTAAGCAATTCAATAAGAACTGAAACATATTACCATGTGTGTGGTGGTAAATTTTTTTCTTAATTTCTTGCTTGTGTTTTCTTTGACCATTGTTTGACAATTTCCTGTGGGAATTTTATTTTGACATTTCAATTATAAAGATATTTTCATCTATCACCAGAAACTCTTTGTTTTCTTAAAGAACATTTTTGTCTTTTATTAAATTTAAAGTATGGTTTTGCCATTTAATTTGTGTGGCCACACAAATGTCAATTTCTTAGTATTCATCCTTAATTATCTGCCTTGCATACATATGCATAGGATAATTATTGCAAAAATAAATTTATATTTATAATCAACATTTTTGTTGGCTATTTTCCCACCAAGACCTAAAACAAACACATTATCCTTGACTGCTGCAAAGCCATAAAATAAAATAATCAACCTTTAAAAGTAAAGAAAAGACAACAACACTTAGTAGGACTAACAAATATTTGTACACAAAAAAAGTGTAAATGTGCAAATCGTACTCTTATACTCGCAGCTACAAAAATTTATTGCACGCAAAACAACCTTGACTTAATGGCTGTTACTTGCCCACAAAACCGAGGTTTATAGAGGATTTGCCAATTTCTCACTTACCGCAACGTAACAGCCAACACAAACATACATATATCGGGGTTTTTTGTAGTTTATTCTTGGCTTTTTTTTCTTTAGTTTCTAGCAGGAAAAATCATTTTAGATTTACACTCTAGAGAACCTTGAGAGTTTTCCTACAAGCCCCAGCAATAAAATATTAAAATAAAAATAAAACTTTTTTTATATTTTGTTTGGAACAATAAATAAAAAAAACATAAAGCATGAAAAACAAACTATAAAAATTCATATTGTAATTGGAATTTCATAGTTTTTCGTATAAAAAGATGAAAATTTAAAACTTTTCACCATATGATTTCGAATATAATATATAAATAAAATAATTGAATCATTAGCAAGGCAAGGTTATGCGAGGGTAGTTAAGAAATTCCATTTTTATTTAATGAACAAAAAAGCTAATAATTTACAGTAAAATATATGTAAGGATCGATAGATCAAAATTTAATTATTAGGGCGTAAAAGAGTGCTTTTTAAAAGATAAATTTAAGCTGTTCCTCGTAAAATTTTTAAGGAGGCTTTGTATAGGGACAATGGTCAAATAAGACCCTATAATTATAAAATTCATGTGCGTCATCAAGGCTAGTAAAGAACTTGATTTTGCAGCTTTTTGTCGAGATACGAGTATATTAAACATAATTATGAACTTAAGAGCCCTATTCGGGGGTTCAGTTGTATGGGGGCTAGGTGAAATAATGGACCGATGTTAACCATTTTCAATAGGCTTCGTCTCCGGTACCATAGAAGAATATGTGCCAAATTTCATTGAATTATCTCAAAATGCGACTGCAGTTTGATTAGAAGGTTTACATGGACGGACGGACGACATAGCTAAATCGGCTCAGAAAATTATTCTAAGCCGATTGGTATACTTTAATACTTTGGCACAAAGCCAATATAGGTGTAAGGTATAAATAATAGATTAACGAACTGAACTCGGTGGTATTAACGCCAAATAGAACGAATTCAAATCAAAATAGGAATTATATTGATTTTTTCACTTTCCATTATTAACATCTGAAAATCTGGGTATAAAATCGAACTTCTGGAGAAAAAAATTTCATGAACTGTTTATGAAAACTTATGCAATTTAAAAAAATATTTCCTTTACTTCACAAAATCTTTAATTCTAAAAAGTCGAACCATTCTTAAGCCTGCTTTAGACTAAGCGAATTAAAATATTATCCTATTACACTGAAAACTGTATCGATTTCTTTAAAATCTTGTTACGAAAGCAGCAGCTGTTTCTTTAAGTTTAAAGAACTCTGAAACTTTGTCTTTAAATTAATAAGATTTTAGTCTTTTTGTAAATTCTTAAAGAAAATTACGTTACCTTTAAAGAAACACTATTGATTTTCTAAAAAAAAAAAACAACAACACAATGATAACCAAAGACTCATAATTGTCAACCTTAAATCTTTGTAAGTAGAAAAAATGGTCCAAAATAAGTCTGCTTTTTTAACAATATAAAGCGGAAGTAAATGGTATGTTAAATCTCATATAAGGATTTGCTTATAACAAAAGCAGAAACACAGATTTGTTTTCTTCTCTTCGGTTTGTTGAACGTATGTCTTCAAACTGACTGACAGACAGACAGACATGTATTGAGTATGAGTATGTTTATAATCAGCTTAAATTATAAAGCGGATTTAAAAAGGACATCGTTGTTCTTAATTTAAAAGGAAATACGCATAACTATTTGTCTATATACACCATGTATGATGATGCCCTTAACTTCTTATGTTCTGCTGCTTTTGTGATTTATTTCTGGCTTTATACAGTTCCTTTACTGCTTTCTTTTTTGATAGATTAAATTTAAACATAGTTGACTTTTTATATCTTGGATTCAAAATTAACAACAACAAAAGTTCTATGACGTTGTTTTCCTTTTTTGTCTAAAGGAACTAAAAAATTAAACACATGGAATTTTGCAAACTCATGTTATTTTAACGTTACTGTGTGTTTTTATCTCACAGTAAGATAATTAGAAAAAAAGAATGAAATCTTAACATAATGTTATTTTTAAATGATTTTTGTATTCTTTTTGATATCCTGCTGTGGTGAAAAATTTCAGTTTTTCTTGCTGTTTTACTTTTTAAAGAAAATCTGTTGCGACAGCTGTTGGGCAAGGATTCTGTAAGTCATGAGAAGTTTAAACAGAAGAAAAAAATGAGAAAAATTAAAGAAAAACAACAAAGCTGTGCGGCGTTAATAATTTGAAAACAAAACACATTTTTACCAACAAAAAAACCTAAAATAAACTCTACACACTGTGTATTTTAATAACTCTCATTTTATCACATGCTCTCTCTCTTTAACATTCACTCTCTGTATTACATTATTTACGCTCTGTTATGATTTTTCTACGCCCGTCCATTTCCACTAAATGTGTAACATATATCCTTTTTGTGTGATAATTTCTCTCTCATTATTTCTCTTTTTATTATTGTTCTTTTCTCTATTGTACACTTTTTTCCTCTCACTCTCTGTGGTCTGTGTGATTTCACTTTTAAACCATCACATCTATATAAGGGTTGCTTGTTACCATACACAAGTCAGTCTTTAGTTAGAACTTGATTACAAAACACCTCTACTCGTGACTCTAAAGAAATTTTATTAAAAAAATATAAGCAAAAGCAAGAAAAAAAATTTAATATAAAATCTATACAACTTAAGAAACGGGTGCGTCTTTTCGTATGAGTGTTTTAAAGTGAAAAGCGAAATAACAAAAAATAAACGAAATTCATTTAAACGTGTCGCCTTCCCGCATACATTATAATTAAATTTAATAACGTTTAATGTTCCTAATTAGACAAAAAGCCCGAGCAGGCAAGAAAAATAATTAAATAATGAAAATAAATATATAAAAGAAAATTCTCATATGAGTTGTTCTTCTTATTAACCATAACAACCGAAGTGTGAATATGTTGAAAAAGTGAAAGAATCCTACAAAATAAAACAAAACCGAAAAGTAACAAAGATTTTTTCTTCCTTCCTAAACGAAACAACATCTGCACAACATCAAATACAACAAAACACACAAATAGAAGAAAAAAAAATAGAATTTGCTCCACTTTATGTAAACGTCAAACGACAAATCCTTAAACATCTAGAAAAGCAAAAATATATAAAAAAACAAAAATAAAATAGAGAAAAAATAAAAGCAAATCGTTTGCTCGTGACGTGATGTGAAAATCGTAATACGAACTTGAAAACATACACCAACCAACAAACAAACACATACAAATAAAATAAATTTGCAAAAATTATTGAAAGAAATTTGTTAAAGTTTTTATAACGTGTGCCATAACAACAATTAAAAATACAAACAAAAATCGAAAAACACTCAAAATGTTTAAACTGGATTAATTGCAATCAATTGCATCTTTTATAGAAATTTTTATTTGGTTTTGTTTGGAAATTTTTTTAAGTTTCTTTAATTTCGTATAATTTCTTATTGAAACGACAACAACCAACATGGCATCAAATAACAAAATCATCGTCTGTGTGATGTGTGTTGCAACCATCTTGATCGGTAGTGTTAGCATGCAAAAGCAACAATTGCAAACAGAACAGCAACAACAACAACCTCCTTTATCTACACATGTCACTCAACAACAGCTGCAACAACATTCGAATGCCATAATGGGCGAAGCCGGTGTTTCGAATAATCAATTGCACACGCCTCCCAATGGAGCTCATAATACACGTTTGGCCAGCCAGGATATGCGTTATGATGCTCCTGATGACTGTCACTTTTTACCAGCCCTTGGGCCTGATCATCCCGAAATAATGTTAACCTGTAATTTGCGTACGGTCAACAGTGAATTTGACACCACAAATTTCAGTGTTATTCCTTCGGAGCATACAGTGGGTCTACACGTTCTTTGCAATGATGAAATTATGGCAAAGAGTTCCTTGGAACCTCAGTCATTTGCTCATCTACACCGCCTGCAAGAGCTATCGGTGCAATACTGTAAATTGTCGAAATTCAACAGACATGTACTGGATGGTCTTTCCCAGTTAAGAAATCTAACAGTACGCACTCACAACACTTTGTGGCCTTCATTAAACTTTGACATTGAGCCAGAGGCTTTTGCTGTAGTAAATCAATTGGAACGTTTGGATCTGTCCTCCAATAATATTTGGTCGTTGCCTGAGAACATTTTCTGCACACTGAGTGGCCTTATTTCGCTGAACATGAGTGAAAATCGTTTACAGGATGTCAACGAGTTGGGATTCCGTGATCGCTCGAAAGATCATCCTTCAGATGCCACATCTTCACCAGAGAGCAAACGCTCTAATACTCCTTGCAATTTGGACATAGAAATTTTGGATGTTTCGTTTAACCATTTTGTTCTATTGCCCGCCAATGGTTTTGCCACCTTGAGACGTTTGCGTGTATTGCAAGTGAACAACAATGAAATATCCATGATTGGCGACAAAGCTTTAAGTGGTTTGAAGAATTTGCAAATCCTAAACCTCAGCTCAAACAAATTGGTAGCTTTGCCTTCTGAGTTATTTGCAGAACAATCCTCATCTATCCAGGAAGTATATTTGCAAAATAATTCCATATCGGTGTTATCTCCTAAACTGTTTTCAAACTTGGAACAGTTACAAGCCTTGGATTTGTCATACAACCAAATTACCTCTACTTGGATTGACCGCAGTACCTTTGTGGGTCTAATAAGATTAGTATTACTTAATCTATCGCACAACAAACTCACTCAACTGGATGCTGAAATCTTTACCGATCTCTATACTCTTCAAATCCTCAACCTGAGACACAACCAATTGGAAAATATTGCTGCCGAAACCTTTGCTCCCATGAACAATTTACACACTCTTCTGCTATCACATAACAAACTTAAATATTTGGACGCATATGCTCTGAATGGTCTATATGTTTTGTCTCTACTCTCCCTGGACAATAATCATCTAATTGGTGTTCACCCAGAAGCCTTTCGTAATTGCAGTTCCTTGCAGGATTTGAACCTCAATGGTAACCAATTGAAAACTGTACCTTTAGCCATACGTAGCATGCGTTTATTACGCACTGTCGATTTGGGTGAAAATATGATAACTGTTTTGGAAGATAATGCCTTCAAAGGTCTAAGCAATCTGTATGGTCTACGTTTAATTGGCAACTACTTGGAAAATATTACTATGCATTCATTCAAGGAATTACCCAGTTTACAAATTTTGAATTTGGCACGTAATCGTATTGCTGTTGTGGAACCTGGTGCATTCGAAATGACGTCCAGCATTCAAGCTGTTCGTTTGGATGGTAACGAATTAAGTGATATTAATGGTTTATTCAGCAACATGCCTTCTTTATTGTGGCTTAATATTTCCGATAATCGTTTGGAACACTTTGATTATGCCCATGTACCCAGCACTTTGCAATGGTTAGATTTGCATAAAAATCGTTTAGTTGAGTTATCCAATCGTTTTGGTTTGGATTCACAAATTCGCTTACAAACTTTAGATGCCAGTTTTAATCAAATCCAACGTATATCACCATCTGCCATACCCAATTCCATCGAGCTATTATTCATCAATGACAACCTCTTAACTACTGTAGATCCCGATACTTTCATGCACAAGACAAATTTAACACGTGTAGATCTTTATGCCAATCAAATCAGCACCTTGGACATCAAGAGCTTACGTATTTTACCAGTACATGAACATCGTGCCTTGCCTGAATTTTACATTGGAGGCAACCCCTTTACTTGTGATTGCAACATTGATTGGTTGCAGAAAATCAATCACATCAAATCTCGCCAGTATCCTCGCATTATGGATTTAGAGACCATTTACTGTAAGTTGCTTAATAATCGTGAAAGAGCCTATATTCCATTGATTGAAGCCGAGCCCAAACACTTTTTGTGTTCGTATAAAACACATTGCTTTGCTGTCTGTCACTGCTGTGAATTTGATGCTTGTGATTGTGAAATGACTTGTCCCACCAATTGCACATGTTTCCATGATCAAACCTGGTCTACAAATATTGTAGAATGTTCCGGAGCTGGTTACTCTGAAATGCCTCGCAAGGTTCCCATGGACACCACTGAATTGTATATTGATGGCAACAACTTTGTAGAACTGGCAAGTCATTCGTTTTTGGGTCGCAAAAACTTGGCTGTATTATTTGTCAACAACTCCAATGTGCAAATCATCTACAATACCACTTTCAGTGGCTTGAAACGTTTGCTGGTGCTTCATTTGGAAGACAACCACATCACCAGTTTGGAAGGTAATGAGTTCAGCAATTTGGAGAATTTACGCGAACTGTATTTGCAAAACAATCGCATTGCTACCATAGGCAACGGCAGTTTCCAGGCTTTAAGGAAATTGGAAATTTTGCGTTTGGATGGCAACCGTTTGCTGCATTTCGAGGTATGGCAATTAGCTCTCAATCCTTATCTAGTGGAAATCGGTTTGGCTGACAACCAATGGTCTTGTGAGTGCAGTTACTTGATGCGATTCCGTAGTTATTTGGCTCAGAGTTCTGGTAAGATTATTGATGCTGCCCGTGTTTCCTGTGTATATAACAATGCCACTAGTGTATTGCGTGAGAAGAATGGTACGAAATGTACTTTACGTGAAGATGTAGCCACTTATGTACAAGCCAGCGAAATTGAAAGTCTTTTGCCATTCTTACTAATGGCAACTTGTGCATTTATTGGTTTCTTCGGTCTAATTGCTGGTCTCTTCTGCTATCGTCGTGAATTAAAGATGTGGGCCCATTCCAACTGTCTACTCAACATGTGCTACAAGTCGCCTGGTTTTGTGGAAGATTTGGACAAAGAACGTCTTAATGATGCATACTTTGCTTACAGTCTTCAAGATGAACATTTCGTGAATCAAATACTAGCACACACCTTGGAAAACGACATGGGCTACAGAGCTTGCCTGCACTATCGTGATATCAATGTTAATGCTTATGTCACAGATGCCATCATTGAAGCCGCCGAAAGCGCTAAACAATTTGTGTTGGTTTTGTCAAAGAACTTCTTGTATAATGAGTGGTCTCGTTTCGAATACAAAAGTGCCCTGCATGAAATCGTTAAACGCAGAAAGCGTATTGTGTTTATATTATACGGCGATTTGCCCCAACGCGATATAGACATTGATATGCGTCACTACCTACGCACAAGTACCTGCATTGAATGGGATGACAAGAAATTCTGGCAGAAGTTACGTATGGCTTTACCACACATACGTACTAAACGTACAACCAACTGCCTTAGTAATCGTTCTTCGGTAAATATTTATGCACCAGCTCATGAATATCAAGCAGCACCCAATGGTCGTTTGGTGGGTCAAGGTGCTGGTGCCGGTGTAGTTAATGACAAACACTATGCTGACTGTGGAAACTATGCCACCATAAATGATTGTGTTCGAGGCTATGCCCCCATACCAACAGCAGCAGCGAACTGTAAATTCAATACCCTAAATGAATTGGGCTACAAAGCAACTAAAGACAGCAAAGAAATCCAACATGCCAAAACGCTGGAATTCCAAAGGCACCATCATTTGCGCCAACAACCACTAACCTCAGCCGCACACTTGCACCACCAACAGCACGAGTATGCAGTGCCCTCTTACTATGCCATAACTAATGGCCAGGTTTCAAGGGGAGCCGCTGGCGAAATTGTGGCTCCAACATACGACAGTGTAGACTACTCCAAACAGCCCACTTTGCAAAAGACAAACAATTGCGACTGCAGCCATGAACAGGGCACTGGGACACAAACTAGCAACAAACGCAAAGCAGGCTTACAATCTAGTTTCTCATCCAACTTTACACCACCTCCACCGCCAGCTAACCCACAGGTGACTACATTCAACTGCAAGAAACCACCCTGTACATGTCGCAAATCGACGGCATCAGCAACAGATGATAACATTAGTTGTAGATGTGCTGCCAAAAGTAGCAGTAGTAATAGTACAAGCAGTCACAGTTCCAACGACAGCTGTCGCCCAGATGAACTTAATCAGTATGAATCGAATTTGTCATTAAACGAAATCAATACCACCACAGCATCAGTTGGCGATGAAAGCAACAGCTTGTGGGCGTAACATCCAAATTACCAACAGCAACAGCAGGCGTTGCAGCAGCAGCTCCACCATCAACATCATCTTGTCCAGACCCAGCAACAAACAGCCGTTTGTTGACTTCCTCCGAATGGAAGAGCCGGTTTTCGAGATGATGATGTCTTAGTTTTTAAGTTTTCCAAGGAGACAGACTACGTAACCAGTGAATTTATGAAGTGCACCTCTCTATATTTCAAGAATAAAGGGATTTCCCAGCACTTTTTGTAAAAAGACAAACAACTCTACTCTAAACTACTAGAAAAAAAAAACTAAACTAAATTTTAAATATTTATTATTAATTGTTTTTCTTTTTTCTACTTCTTATTGATTAATTAAATAAGTTTAAATTATTTTTTTTTAGTAATATATTATTTTTGTAAATTTTGTTTTAGTTTTTTATAAATTAATTTTTTTGTATGATTTATTTTGTAAATTTTTTAGTTAAATTTATTTATTAAAAAAAACATAAAAAAAACCCTTTTTGGAAAAATATTAAAATATTTCGAATAGTATTTTTTTACAAAAAAATATTTGGGTTTAACAGACTGATAAACTTAGTTCGTTCTTTGTTTAAGTAAAATAAAAAAAAAATCATGTGAATTATAAATGTAAATATTTGGCTAAGATTTAATTAAAAAATACATAAAACTGAAATACATTAAAAAAAAAAATACTCATAAAATATAAACAAAATAATTTAAATGTTTTATTTATTTTTTTCAATTTGTAATTGAACTCAAGTTAGTTGGTTTTTAGTATGTGTGTGAAATTTTTCAATTGAATTTTGATGAAAGTATGACTTTCTGTACGCTGAGAAAAAAACATAAATGCTTTCTTTGGGTATGTAGAATTTGAGTTTTTTTTGTGTGGTTTTTAAAAACCGGAAATGAATATACATACTTACTTGTATTAAATTTTGACACTGTTTAAATTTTAGTTAGTGAGTTTGTGGAAGTTGTTAAAAATATGATTCATAATTCATATCAGTTGCCATGTTCATTCAATTTCCAATTTTGATTTTTGATTAAAATTTTCAAGTGGAATAACTGTTTTTAGATTTTTTTTGAATAGATTAGTTTGAATAATTTGTTTACTCTGTAGTATTTTAGACTGATACAACTTCGGGGTTTTCATTTCTTAATTCGAGACTTAATTTTTCAAATTGATGTTTTGATTTTGATACTTTCACTGTCAATTTCGTGATAAAAAAGCTTGTGTGAAACAAGTTGGCCTTAATTTTGGATTCGAAATTTATTTGTCTGTGAGTTTTTTATTTGTGAAAATTTTCTGGAACACAAGTCGAAGGCTTTTTTCTATAAATCGAGTATGAGCATAATTGTTTTACTTCTTACTAAGTCAAGTCTGGAAGCCAAAACTTGAAAAAATTTTCAAATTGGAGCTAATAGATTTTTTCCTTACACAATCATTTGTTTTTGTATTATTTTGATTTTAATTAATTAAAATATTTGCTGACTGCTATTCTGACATACTTTTCATTGAAAATGCAACTTTTCACATAAATTTTTACACATACAAAAAGCAAACAACAACAAAGGGAATTGTATATACAACAAAACAAGTGAAATGAATTGAACTAAAAATAATACAAATAAGAACGGCAAATACTAAAAAAGAATTGAATTATTATTATTATTATTTTAAGGTTAATTATTTATTTTATTGGTTTTTTACTAAAACAAAATTTAAATTTTAAAATAATAAGCGCCACTTTTCCGTTTCCCATAAAAACAAGAATAATAAAAATAATAAAAACAAGTCAGCCATATTTGGAGGAGAAGGTAGTAAAATTCTACTAAAAGTCTAAACTGCCATACACTCTAAAAAAAATCAAATAATTACATACACCTACTCATAGACAAACTTATAAATAAACAAAAAAAATAAATACTTTGTAATAATAAAAAAATAATAAAGAAAATAAGCAAAATAAGCATAAAATAATTGATAAATTAATATCTGCTTTTAAATATTTCATTATTTTCCTATTAATGTTTTTTTGTTTCGTTGTTGTTGAGTTTTTTTTTTTGTTTCTTTACGATTTTTATTACTCCTACACTTTTATAAAACTTTATTAAACCAATTAATATGCTGGTAGTGTTACAAAAACAACAACAACAACTTCACTACTGACTGCTACAGGAAAAGAAAAAAAGTTGAGAAAAACTTTTTTTTATAAAAAAAAAAAATAAATAAAAAATTCAGTCAAATAAATAAACAACCACTTTAAACAGCATAAAAAGCAACCAGAGAAGAAAAAAAAACGCGCATTAAATTTTAAAATTAACGATAAACATCACATAATTAATATTTAATAATTATTACAAAAAACAACTAAAAACAATAAAAAAAAATAAATTAAAATAAAACATCAATTGTTTGTTTTTAACACATAACAGCAAAAACAAAACAATTCATATAAAACTGCCATCATTAAAGACAACAATAACAACAACAAAATTTGTAAATTAACTAAATATAAAATTTATATTAAACAAACTAAATGAAGTAAACAAATATGGGAAATCAAAATAATAAATAAGCACTTAATAGCGTTTTAAATCATTTTAATTAATAAAATATTTAAAAAAAAAAAAACCAAAATAATATAAAAAAGCTCACATCACAACAAGAAAAAAAAGCGCGTTTCCGTTTTGTTGTTTTCTTTTTTTTATTTTTTTCTTCTCACTATTCTCTTTCCCTACAATATAATTTTATACTAATTGTTCTTTTTATGTTGTTGTATTTTTTTTGTTCTTATAATCAATCAATCACTCACTCTCTCTCTCTCGTAATTAAACAAACAAACTAACACCTTCTGTAAATTTGATACAAAAGTATTTTCACTACAAGTGAGTAAATAAAATAAATTATTTTTTATTATTATTAATTATTATAAAAAAATAATATGAAAAATAAATTAAATTTTAGCTAATAAAAATTTTACATTTTTTAATAGAGAAAAATCCTTGTCCCCACAAAAAAAAAAGAAAATTAACAACTTCCTGTTCTCCTCCTAAAAAAACAGGTTTTGAAAAAGGAATTTACTTTAAATAAATTTATTTGAAATTAATTGTTCATCAACTAATTTTTATAATAATTTTTATTATGATCTTTGTATTTGAAAATCCATATCCTGATTCTATTCTATTCATTTAAAGTTTAAGATTTGTTTAAACAAATATAGGTGGTTCCTCAAAAACTAGGCAATGAAATGATATTCAGGTCTGTTCAAATTTCGAGCTAACGGTTTTCTTTCCGATTTTCTCTCGAGCTTCAGAATCTAGCCTTATCCGTCGTTTCTATTTTGGATTCAGTAACCAGAAAGAATATTGAGCTTTTAGTACTTGACCGTATCCTAACTTGACTTTAATAAGTCCGTATTACATGTACCAATTTGACATCAAATTTTTTAAAACAAATACATTCAACAACAACATGTAACATTGCAACAATTCGTTGTTGCAATCTAAATTTTATGCACATCCGTTGTCTAAAAGTAAACAAACGTGGTAAGCTCACTATTGACAACGTTTGTTAACTTTTCAGATTTTCTCCATCATATCTGGGATTTGAAATATCGTGTCCGGAAATTTGAAAAAATGCAATTTTTTTGTCCCTTTAAGTCTTTATTTTAAAGTTGACCGAATGGACTTTCGGATGGCATACAATATTTTCTAAATAATGTTGACTTGGCACTGTTTTAACGCCTGAAAAAGGGTCAAAAATTGCGTTATTTCAAACTTCAGGATATGATATCTAAAATCCCAGAAGTGATGGAGAAATTCCAGATTCGGATTCAGCGTTGATCAGTCCTTTAGTTGACTGATCAACACTTTAGTTGAAAATTTGTATTTTATACTTGACTTTAGTAAAGGTGTACTTACTGTACTTATTGACAGCACGTCATACTGATTCAACTATGGATTTCTCAATTCTTTTTATTTTACATTTATAGGGATAGAACAAGGTCAGCTAGAAGACACAAACCGGCAAAATTTGAAAAAAGTCGAAACCCTGAGATCAAGTTAGACGTTTTTAAAGGATTTAGCGGTGCTGAATGCAAATATGAATTAGATTTTCTCCATCATATCTGGGATTTGAGCTATCCTGTCCGAAATTTTAAATAAACGTCATTTTTGCCCCTTTAAGCCTTTTTGAAAAGTTGACAGAATGGACTTTCAGATGGCATACAACATTTTCTAAATAAAGTTGTCTTGGCGCTGTTTAACGTCTCAACAAGGGCCAAAAATGGCTTTATTTCCTACTTCAGGACATGATAACTCAAATCCCACATGTGATGAAGAAATTCTGAGGCCAGATTCGGATTCAGTGTGATACTTTGATTAACAATTTGTCGGCCTGTGTTATTATTAAGTATATAAAATTGGGCTATTTAGAGACCCTCAACCTCTCCTTTCAGAGTTTGACTATGACGTCTCTTACTGGCTTTAAAATTTCAATATAAAGATGAAATTTGACATAAACATAAGCTATTATAACGTCTCAACAAGGGCCAAAAGAATCTGAGGTCATTTTCAAATCCCAGATGTGATGAAGAAATTCTGAGGCCAGATTCGGATTCAGTGTGGTATAGCAAAAGTTGTGTTTATTATATACCCCTGAACCTCTCCTTTCAGAATTTGACTATAACGTCTCTTACTGGCTTTAAAATTTCAGTATAACGATGAAAATTGACATAAACTAGGGGGCTGAACCACGCCCAATCGTATTATTTAATGAATTTTTTTGCAACCATTAAAACTAGTTCTTGTCACTGAAAATATTAAGAATGTGTGGTTTAAGGTCTGAGACCTTAGTCGCTATTAGACTTCTTTGCATAGATTCAACTTATAATGCTCCAACTTATAATGCTTTAATTTTTTCTTTACAAATTGCTATAAACGTTTTTGCTAATGGTTTCATGAAATTAGAAATTTCAAACAAAATCTATCTACAAAACCAAAGAAATTAATTCCTTTTTAAAACTGTTTTTTTTAAATTCCCAACTCCTCCTCCTTCCTTAAACGAATAAATCCCACAAAAAGAAGCATCCAAAAATAAAACAATTAATGCCAAAACTTAACAAAAACAAAGAACAAAAGAAAAACAAAAAACTAAAATAAATTTGTATTATATTGGTAGAGTATATGAGTATAATTTACTTTTTTTCTTCTTCCACTCTCTCTCTCGAATAAGTTGTAAAAATAAAATTTATAAAAATAAAAAAATTAAAAGCCCGAGATGATAGAATAAAATTAAAACAAAAAACTTAAAACTACTAATTATACACTATTTAATAATGCTAGAAAAAAGAAGAAGAGAAAAAAAAACCAAAAGCAACGAATTAAAACAAATTTATTTTTCAGTGTAAATTAAATAAATTATTTACTACTATGTATTTTATCATTATTATTTGAATTTAATATTATATTTGTGTTTAGTTTTATAAGCCAAATTTAATTGAATTGTGTACATTACGTTATGTTCCTAGTCATTGTAAAAATTTTGCAAAAAAAAATAAAAACAAAAAAAACCTATTTATAAAAATATATTTAAATGATAATGAAATGAAAATAAATAAAATCAATTCTGATTATTACATTTAAATTTATTTTTTTGTTTTAATTTATGTTGTTTAATTTTAGTTCTAACTCTAATACTAAGAATACTTAATTATAATATTTAATAATAACTAATGATAACAAATATTTTTATTTAAAAATTTAACAGAAAAATGAAACTGAACAAAAAAAAATTGAAAAAAAACCAAAAACTTTAAAACTATAAATAAATAATTATTTGAATATTGCAGAAAATTATGCATCAAAAAAATACATATATAAAAGTAGTTTTTATTGCGAATTCTTCTAAGGAGATTTTAAACAACGTATTCAAAAACTTTTTAATGGCTTAATGAACCTATTTCCCTTAAAAATTTCCGCTATAAACCATCAATAACTATATTAGTCATTTATGAATATGGGCTTAAAAGTTTTGGGAATGGGTTGTGACCTTTACAATGTTAACAAGCTTATGATAAGTTTATACTTATTGTTATTGTAATTTCTGTTTTTTAAGATGAATTTTGGGATGCTGCTCATTAACTTTGATTTGAAGGTTTATATCTTGAAGTCTAATAACAGAATCTTTTCACAACTAATTGTTTTCTAACTTTAAATATAAAATTCCAAACCAATTAAATCATTAAATTTTACTATATTATTGTAAAATATTTTAAATCCTTGTTTTTTTTTAATAATTTTATTTATGTTCTTCATTATTAAATGTATTTAATATAAATTTATTATTTTGATATAAAACCACATAAAATCGTACTTGAACACTTAGCAAATAATTAATAAATGACTCACATTAATATGTATACTTTTAATTTTATTTTATTTATTTATTTTACTTTTTTTTAATATTAAATTTATTATAATTTAAATTACTATCTGCTATTTAAAAGTTGCTGGCAAAAAAAAAAACAACAACAACAATAGCAGCAGCCGCAACAAAAAAAATCGTAAGAGAAAAATGAACAAAAATACATTAAATTAATTATATTTTATTTGAAAAGAGTTTTAATTGTTTAAATAAATTATAATTTATATTTTATTTAATTTTATATGAAATCATTTATGTGGAAAATTGCTAAAATATGTTTTTGACTTGATGTTTTGTGTATTTCACTCGTGTAACATATCATAAACAAGAGCAAAACTCTCCCAAATAAAGGGACATATTTAGTCCCTACCCAACCATTACCGCTAGTTTTGCTTTAAAACTATTTGTATATGTGTGTGTATGTATGCGAAAAAAAGTTTTACATAAATCCTTACATTCACTCGTTTAGTCATACATTTGTAAATATTTTAATGTCAACATAAATTTTGTTGGAAAAATGTTGTTTTCTTTATTATGATGTTTTTTGTTGTTGTTAATTTTTTTTCCATTTTTTTTGATTTATAAAAAAGCGTAAATTTAATTTCAACAGCATTTATTTGTTTAAATGTTTTATTATTATACTACAACTATTCCGCACAAACAGACTTATAAATCCTTATCATAGTCCTGCAGTTTTAGCAGCAGGAATAGTCCACTTTGTACTAGTTACGTGGCTAGTGACACAGCACCTTTTGATTCGATTGTTATTTAGGCAGTACAACGGTAGTTAGAAATAACTGAGAAGAAACATACATATCTAGAAACTAATAAAACAAGTATTCCTTCAATACCATTCTCTTTGAGTTGTTGTTATAGGCAAAGAGCTCTCTCTCGTGAGCTCTCTGATGATCTACATAATGCCGACACAGAAGTCTAATTTGTACCTATATTATTATTTAAAGCAGAATTTTAAATAACTTTAGTATTCCGTTTTGCTGAGTTTTTATTTTTTCCTAGTTATGTTCATTTTATTATAAATTCATATATTTTACACAATACTTTACACACCTACAATATTAATATAAACCAACAATAATAATAAAAAAAAAAATTAATTATTTATTTATATTTTTTGTTATTTACTATTTAAACAAATAATACAATAAATCTGTTATGATGGTTGTCGCACAGCACTCACTAGAGTAGTTGTAATAGTTGATGTTGCGACAAAAACTTTTTTTACAACA